CGTAGGGCACCAGCGGCCTGTGCTGTCCCCCTGCCCTCCAAGAATTCCAAGTTTCTTGGAGGAGGTTGCACCGCATCCGGGCCAGGACGAAAGAAACAAAGTCATGCAGCCACAGGCTGCTCGTGTCATTGTCATTCTCATGACCTTGAATAGGCGCTTCACATGCTGAAGTTTCAGAGTCTCTGCCCCAAACACTTAATTCTCTCAGGGACTGAGTCAGTGTCCTGGTGGCATCTCGGTTGACATCCTTGGCATATTCCTGCCTAGACTCTGTCTTTGCTGATGCTATGGCCTCCGCATAAAGTACCTTTCAGCCCCTTCCCCTTGTCTAAATCCTTCTGAAGGGACAGGCCACTTCCTCCATGAAAGCTGTCCAGATCCTCGGCAACACTCAGCACTCCGCAGCTGGAGGCCGCTCGGCTCCTGGAGGCCGTCCATATTCTTCGCAGTGTCGCCTTCTCCATCTTCACAGACTCCTCAGATCCCCTGGTGCTGCAGATCTCGCTGGCTTCTCTGTCTCTGACCTCCAGACCCAGGCTTAGGCTCTGCTCAGGCTCATGCAGCTAATCTATCTTAAAGCCAATTGGTTTACACCTTCAAAATCCCTTCACAGCAACACCTAAATTTAACATTTGATTCAATAACTGGGTGAAGCTGTGGGTACAGCAGGGACCAGGAGTTGGGGGAGTCAAATTCTGCCCATACCATCTTGGATGAACAACTCTTGGTGCCAAATGCTGGGACAGTTGTGGACAGGCCGGGCTGGTATGTCCAGCTAACTCTGTTAGCTGGTTCAGCAGGGGTGGGCCTAGGTTATTCACCTCTTGTCCTCATGTCTGACCCTAACCCACAGCTCTGCAGGTAACAGGTTCTTGGTAAGGTGTGCTGTATCTGGGTCACAAGGCAGCTGGCCTTTGTCCACGTGCATCAGTGCCATACAGTGTCAAGATGTCAGGACAAGTGGCTTGGTGACTGAGACTATGGGCACCAAGCCAGACAAACCTGGATTCAAGTGTTAATTTACCAGCTTTGTGATCTTTGACTAGATAAACTCTTGGAGCATCGTAGTTTTTTCTTCTATAAAATAATGATGATAACTATACCCACCTATTGTAACCATGGTGCCATGAGGATTAAATGAAGTCATGCAAATGAAGCATTGACTCCAGGCCTGGTGTCTAGGGAACACCCAGTGAAGCCGGTCCCTGCTGTCATCACCACAACAGAGTGTGTGGAGCGCTGGCAAACAGGGAGTCCCTGTGGTGCCACCTCTGGACAAGGCGCACAAGCAACGGCTGGCTGGCTGACCATTCGGGGATCCTTGAGCTTGAAATAATAGAAATAATGGAAGGGTCCTCCTGCAGTGAAGTCCTGGCCAGGCTAGGTAAGTGAGCTCTCCTCTGAACATTCCTTTGGTAATTTGGGGAGAGAAACACATCTTCCTTCAATTTAAAACTTTTGGGTGGTACAGCAGTACACATGTTAAATATTTTCTGTGTGTGACTCCAGAGGGTAGGGGGCGGGTCGGTAATTCTGAATCCTTTGAACGTCTTAGCGGCCTGTCTGGATGAAAGGTGCATGGTGAATGTGGCATTTTATGAAATTAAAAGAAAACAATTTTCTGCTAAAGCAGCTGTGGGGTCCCTGCAGACCAGAGGGATGTCTCGAAGCGTCAGTGTACCTCAGGGCCCAGGGCCTTTTGGGAAAACATCTGGAAACGGCACATCCAACTCCAACTCAGCAAATCAAGTATAAAGTTGTTTATTGAGGAATTCCTCCATTTCAGGGCATTTCATTGCAAAAATGGAAGCTTTTTAGTACAAAGTTGTGACATGGAAAGTGTACCAAGGGGGTTTTATTGTTTTAATTAAAATGATTTCAACTTTGAGTGATTCTTTACAAAACAGCACCCTGGTGCAAACATCCCCTTCTCTTCTTCCTCCTTTTAAAATGCAGAGCTTTAGCTTTAAAGGGAGACTTACTGCCTTTGTCCTGGATTCAGCAAACCAGGTGGTCACACAATCAGCAAACCACTAACAATCACAGACATTACAATTTTCTACTTCGCTGCCATAAACAAACACTGAGCAATGGGGCAGAGAAGGCCTGGACCCAGCAACGTGAACAGAAGAGGAAGACAAACAGAGCTGCGTCCCAAGATTTCCACAAGGCCTCAGGCAGCTCCAGAGCTTAAAAAAATAAAGCTTCCTCCCTTCCTCCTCCTCCCTTCAACACAAACGTCCCAGTGAAGGACCCCCTAATACCTGAGCTTAGTGGAGCTTAGCGAACTGTAACAGGCCCGAACAAGAGCCGTGTGACCTCCACAATAAATCACTTCAGTGAATTTCGGGAGACAGAGACACCCCCCACTCCCTGCCACCTCTGGACTGCCTGCCCGTAGAGTATATTTAAGGAGTTGAAGTTGAAGGGAATATTTTGTTTAATTGCCTTTTGCATTCTGTTTAGTTATGTGGGTTGTATTTCCAATCACGGGCATTATTTTTTTAAATCTTCTTAAGTCCATGAGCTGTCCTGTCTTCCTTTCCCGTGTTACTTAAAACAGTTTCATCTCTAAAAGACTTTGATGTAATGTGTAGTAACATTTTTAGTAGTTGTTGTCTCTGGGCCGGAAAGGACTTCAGAGGTCATTTAAGTCCAGCAGCGACCTAACAGTCGTGTTACATGGTGGCAGGCCAGTTATCAGCACCGGCTTGGAGTTTCCCGGGCCGCTGGCAGCAGAATCTGGGGTTCAGTTCTGACAGTGTGTCTCAATGCTCCTGCCCCTCATCCGGCATTTGGTGAATCTGATGCGGTTCATTGGCGGATATTCACCTGGGAACCACAGGAGGTCTAAAATCTACTCCCCATCCTAGCATCCCCAGTTTACAGATGTGAAAACCGAGCTCTAATAAGAGGTCATGACCTATTCAAGGTCATGATCTGTTCAAGGTTATCTGATCAGTTCATGGCAGGGGTCTCCCAGCTAAGTCCAAGACGACTTTTATGGCTTGTCAATCTCCTGAAAAGTTCTCCCAGGTGGCCTGCCAGGGCCTGGGACACTTCCCAACAGTTGTGTACGAATGGATTCTGACTCCAGGGCTCAGGCACGGGCTGTAGTGATGGGGACTGCCAGCGTGCTTTGAATTTGCAGGGAAGTAGACTGTTCTGGTGACCACTTCACATCACCAAAACCTCACTTGGAAGAAACTCAGTTCCTTGCCTGACTCATTCCATCTGGCTCAGTGTCACCCGGGTCATTTCTCTTGTTTGGTGTGTTTGTCCAAAATTCATTGTAGCTGAGTGTGTGACTCACAGTAGCAGCCATATTTTTCCTGGTGGACCCTTTCTTTCCTTCCCCCTCCCTCCCTCCTTCCCCCTCTCTGTCTTTCTCTTTCTCCTTTCCTTTCTTCCTTCCTCCTCTCTCTCTTTGTGTTTTTTTTCCCAGTCCTCCTTGGATGAAATGATTTTAGAAATGGGGAAGAAAGGTAGAAAGAGAGGAAGAGAAACATCGAAGTGAGAGAGAAACATCAATCAGTTTTACCCTGACTGGAAACCGAACCCGCCACCCAGGCCTGTGCCGTGGATGGGAACTGAACCCATGACCTTTTGATTTTCAGGACAATGCTCCAACTACCTGAGCCACACCAGCTGGGGCATCTCTCTCTCTTTTCCTTTAAAAGAGAAAAAGCAGTTATTTTCTTTAGCCACTAATCCTTGGCATATTTTTATTCACTGGAACTTCATGATTATCTACAGGGCTAAGGGTTTTGAGGCTGCAACCACCTCTGTGCAGCTCCGCCCTCGCTGCCCTCTTGTCAGGGTGCCTGTTGGCAATGTCAGCTGAGGGCAGATGTATGCCCTAGATTTGTGCCTTCTTACCTTGCCAAAAAAAAAGGTGTAATCAACCTGTCATCACTTACTCTGTCATTGCAGCCTGTGGGGCGCATGGTGGGGGGCAGTTCTCAACTCTAACATTCACGTAAAGTACCTTAGTCATACTTTAGAAGACCAATGACCCCACTCAGTGCCTCTTGTTCTCTTCCTCACCATTTCTTCTTTTCCCTTGTTTTTCTTTTCTCTCCTTTCTTCCTCTTATGCTTTTTGTTTCTCCCCTTCATCCTCCACTGCAGTTTTCCTTTCCCTGCTCCTTCTTCCCATCATCATCACCATCAACAAGGTCATTATCATCATCTCCTACCCTAGAGTCAGCACACAGAAGAGGAGGAGAAAGGGGAGAAGGAGGGAAAGAGAAGAAGAAACTGAGGAATGGATGAATACGAGGGTGTAATAATGATTATTACAGCTCTGGGTTGGGCCAGCGTGGAGGTCTGGGCTGGTATAATCCACAGGCGAACTGCTAAAGTAGTGGGCTTTTTACCAGAACGCGCTCCTGCCACCTTCCATTTGATGCGGGGCTGCTAAATGAAGGTTACGGTTCACTGTGAAAAGAGATTGAATTCAATGGTCTCAATACTGAGCCAAAATTCTCTTCTCCCTCTCCCACCACTTAACCTCAGAGATTGTTTATTTATTTATTTATTTTTCTACACTGGAGAGACCTCAGCTGTAGCTTGAAGGGTCTGAACATCCCTGTCACAGCTAAAATGACACCCACCAAAAATGAATGAATGGCTGAATGAATACAAAAAATAAAATAACACACACAACTTCTACCGCAAACCAATTTCTTCTCCCACTAAATTTTTTAAGCACCACACTTTGTAACCTGGGCTGTTCCTACCTGCAGCGCCGTGCTGAACCATCCGCAGACCAAGGTGAAGGCGAGTGGGTCAGCCCCCCCCCCCACCCCCGGCAGGGACGCAAGAGTCCAGACTTCAGTCAGAAGACCGCTCTGGCCAGCCCAGGTAACATTGCTCACTGTTTAATTTTTCAAAAAATTTAGACAATATACAAAGTATTTTTAATTTAAAAAAGTTTAAATAAAATGTAATTTAGAGTTAAAAGCAAAAGCTCCGACTCTTCCTTTACTCCTACCCCATCTGCCGTCTTATTCCCCCAGGAATCAGCTTACTCCCAGGAACTATTTGCACCCTCGTGGGTATACACCTCTGCTCTCTATTTGCAGGAAAAAGAACTGGAAGCAGAACTGCTGGGCTGAGGGTACGCACAATTTCATTTTGATAGAAACTGCTGAATGGTACTCTAGAAGGGACAAACCACTGCCAGCGCAGTGTGAGTGCTCAGGGGCGAGCTGTGAAACACAGTAAAGGATACCAGATACCGGCGTGCCAGCGTGGGTGCTGCCCCGCAGCCTGCAGTGCTGAAGAGTCCCAGGGAGGGGGAGGGTCCCAGGAGAGAGGCCAGGGTGGCCGGGCCAGCAGGGCTCACTGAGGGAGTCTGCGTCAGTGGACATCCGTCAGCTGTCACAGAAGTCCTTGGCTACACTGACCTATTTGCTGGTACCTGCAGCAATACAGGAAAATTGTTCAGAATGGCCCAGCTCTCTAGTTAGTTATGATGTGTGCTGAGATAAGCCCCTCTTCATTATTCTTTTTCAAAATTCTCTTGGCTATTTTTCTGACATTATCTCTCTGAGATAAAGTTTGTGCAAAAGGCTCTGATTTCTAGATGACTGATTTCCTCTGGTGAAACAATGTACCTTCCCTTCCCAAGGCACCTATGTGACTGGGTCTACTGGCCATTCTTTGGGGCATTTTTCCAAATTAACTAGCTAGAGCCAAAAATAAAGTGGCAATGTGAGATAAAAGTCTGAGAATGCAATACTGGGGAAAAGTGGTGGATGGGGAGAGAAACCTCTCAGCCTGCTGTGTCCCATTTACAAATGGGGACACTTGGATGTGGAGAGGTGAAGGGCCGTAGGGAAGGCCACACTGTCAGTGGGTGGTCTATGGGGCGCCAAGGCTCAGTGCTGCTGCCCTTCAACCCACAGCAGCACCCCGTGCCCACCAGGCAGTCTGTGTGCTGGTGTTTCATGATGGGCACAGCCCTTGACAGCTTTCTGGGCACATTTGCACTGTTTCATGTTCCCTGCCTGCTCGCAGACCTCATAAAGGGAGATAAGAGAGTGGCGGCAAGTGTCTGAGCCAATAAGTGTCCCCAGGCTCTTCTGGCGGCATTGGTCTTTAGAAGAGCCCCCTTACCTTGCTGCTTCATTACCTGGAAGATTCTTTATTTCTCTTCACCATCTGTCCTGTCCTCCATCCCCCAGAACAGGAGCTCCATGAGAACAGGCACGTTGTTTAGTTAGTGACTATATCCCCACATGCCCAGAACAATGCTGGGCACCTAGTTGCTCAATAAATGTTTGTTTTGTGACGGGATGCATGAGCGACAGTTCAGCCTGGCTGCCCTAACAGAATACTGTAGACTGGGTGGCTTACAGACAGCAGAGGTTTACTGCTCTCATTTTTGGAGGCTGGGACGTTCCGATCAAGGCAGGCAGATTTGGCGTCCGGTAAGGGCCTGCTTCCTCATTCTTAGAGGGCTGTGTGTCCTCACACATGGACAGGGCAAAGAAGCTCCCCCAGGTCCCTTTTATAAGTCACTGATCCCCCTCCTAAGGCATCACCCACACAACCTAATCACCTCCCGAAGGCCCCACTCACCTCCTCAGACCGAGGCTCTGGTGCTGGGTTTTAACATACAAATTTGGGGGAGACACAAACATTTGGGACATAACTGTGATGAGGGAATTCTTGTGGGTCTGTAGCCTGTTTCTCCAGGGACAGGAAGAAGTTGACAGCAGTCAGTGCCACAGCCCTGCAGAGCTGGGAATCAGGGGACAAACAGAGACCGAGGACACGATCTCAGGAGCCTCGGCACCAGGGCACAGACACCTCAGTGAAACAGCTTCCAGGAATTTAAACAGTTCTTTTCATCATTCATTGGATTTCTTTCCAAAACCTTCCAATGCTGAGATTATTTATGATCTTCAGTCTTTTTTTTTTTTCACCTTGCAGCCAAGTGAACAGAAACAATGGAACTAACTCCAGAAGGCTGTTAAAAGCTGCGTTTGGTTGTTACACCTAAATTCATTGGGCTCTGTGGTGGCGAAGGAGGAAATATACCACGGTGCGCTATTGACAGGTGTTGGTTTACTGAGAGTTTGGCCAAGTTCAGAGGATATTTGACACACACACCTTGCCACCCTCTTCTCGGGACAAGGAAAAAGGAACTGCAAATATCTCATCCCCTCACTAAACCTTGGCCTCCTTCTCTGTAAATGGGGTGACAAAGAACGAGCTTGCAGGGCCAGAGGTTGCAGCAGCTGGTGAGTGTGAGTGCGCCCTGCAGCTGTGGTGCTGTGCAGGTGCACGCTTGTTTTCATTCTGGCAAGATCTGAATTCTGCACGGTTAGGGTGGCATGGACCAAGTGGCAGGACAACTGACTGAGGTCTCCATTTGGAATTTGTCCTTGATGTATTTTTCCCTCTTTTATTCTAGGTGTATAGACCTTCGGGTTTCCTTCTTTGAAGACTCTCTGGGCCTCAGAATTGAAAGCAGTGGTTCTTCAAGATTATTCTCCTGCCCTTTCTGGCCCTGCTTTAGAGACAGAGCTAAAGTGCTCACTGGGAAGGAGGCAGCCTCCAGCTGGAAGCAGAAAGTGAGAAGAAGGGTGTGGGGCGGGGCCCGGTGTGGGTGTGCTGGTGAGGTTCTACCGGACTGACGGGAGGTGTAGTTTGGGTTTCAGGCCCTTGCTCCCTTCCCTCTCAGGGCCTAGGGTAGAATCAGAACTTCCATGGGCCAGGATCCCCTTTCTTCCACAGAGGCTCTGGAGCAGGAGAGATGCCAGCCTGTAGTGACCTTGGGCTGCGTGGACATGAATAACCAGAGGCCCTTAAAGGCGTTCTGCTTCCACACCTCAGCCCTTCCCTGGCCCCCAGGTGCATGGTGCGTCTTCCAGAAGGAGCCCATTCACAGATGAATGAGTAGGTAGATCTGTCCACCAACCCAGGGAACTGTATGCTCCTAATCAGATTTAAGTCATTTTTTTAAAAAATCATGTGTCATTTTTTTTGTGCTTACATTGGTAGAATAAAACCCATTACCTCTTTCAAGTAAAATACAAATCTAATAAATGCCTCTGGGTAAAAATGTTAGGTAAAAAGTGACACCTGGAAGAGACACGCCCTGAAAGAACCCGTAGAAACCAGTAAATCGCTGTCCTTTTTGCCTCCGACACTAATAACTTTGTGATCTGAAGTCAGTCACTTCCTCCATCTGTACCTCCACATATTTATTGGTTAAATGAAGGGAACTGGGCTAAATTCCCAGTCCATGTTACTGCAGATTTGGAATGGATTTGGGAAACATGAAATAATCATGAAACCATATTCTTAACGGAGGATCTAGTTTAGAGGATGTTTCTGCACTGTTAATTTCCACCTCCAAAATAACTGATCTTTTGGAAAAGCAGTTTCTGCAATTGCAGATGACAGCCAGAATGCGTGCAACATTCTGTCTCTTACCTGCCTCAGTGTCACCTGTCCACACTCTTGTGGTCTGTCTGTCGTCGGGATGTGGGTCTTCATGGTAATGGGTACTTCTTGCAATTTTCATTTTAAAAAGAAAAGCGCCTTTGAACAAAACCAACCCTTCCACAACGGGCTCTGCTTTCCCCAGGGCTGGAGGAGTGTAAACAGGGCTGCAGGAGGCTCCATGTTTATGTTTTCTCAATGACTTCCAGATCAAATCTGCTGTGTTTACTAGATGGAGACACTTTTCTAACCGCTGGCATTGCAAAAATCACAGGAGGGAGGGACAAACACCCCGGCTGGGCTCTCTGCTCTGAGTTATCCCCCCTCCCACCCCACCTCTGACGATTGCCCCATAATGCCCGAGCAGTCTGAGCCTCCAGCTCAGTGGTGGCCTGCAGACACTGGTTTTCCATACTTAAATTGAATCAAGATACCAGCTTATTATTATTATTATTTAAACTTTAAGCCTCAGGCCCAGTGGTGGGATGCTGACTGCAGAGGTAATTTTTTCCCCCGTGCTTGACAATGCTTTACTTTTCCCTATGTCTCTCTCAGTTCTTGCCTTGTCCAGACACCGTGAATCTCATTTTGAAGTCTCTCGTCATTTCCTTGAATCATGAACAGTGTTAACCAAATGCCCAGAAGTGCCTGGGTGACCGTGAGGTTTGCGGGTCATCTGTTAGGGTACCCATGAGACTTCTGTAGAACTTCGAACATGAAGTTCTTGAATCTTTCACCTTGGAAAACAAACATACTCCTTTAAAACAAGGATTTCACTTAAATCTCCTTGTGGTAGATGTTTAACACAGTATTTTGACCATGGATCTGGCAGCACAACTAGCTGTCACAGTGTCCTCGTAGGGGTTTTGTCCATGGCAATGGGAGCATTGGTTCATCTGTCACTGTCTGTCATCCTTTCAGCAGACCACAGTGTGGGGAGGAAAGAGTGGACTTGCCTCCAGCAGCCTGACTCCCACTTGGGAGCTGCTCTCTCAGCAGCCCTGCCAGGCTGGGCGACCTTGGCTGAGCCTGACCCTCCAAAGTGCAATTTCCTCTTCTGCCCTCTTACCTCACAGGGATAAGCCTGCCAGGCATGGAAGGATATTGTACCTCATAAAACACCAGAGAAGTAAGAAGGTCTGTGACCATCAGGCTCAAGCTTCTTGGGGAGGTGGCTGAAGGGGAACCAGGACACTGTCTGTTGCTGTGCAACTGGGGATATTTGTAAACACAAGTTAAAAGTTATTTTTAATGATTAACATCGCTGAAACTCAAACATGAGGTCTCCAGTGTCTCTCCACCGCTGCCTCTTACCCTTTCTTGGACTCGGCCACGACTGTGGCAGACAGCCTCCTTCTCGCCCCTCTGTCAGCTGCAGGGGTGGACTGGGGGGTGCACAAAGAGCCTTTCAACTCCAAAGTGCTGCAGTTCTGCCGCATGGTTCTCAAGCTGGTGGGTAGTAGGATGCGATAGGATGACAAAAAGAGAAGAAGAGGCTCTACTTACACCCCTATGGAAGGTTTTTAAAAAATAAATAAGCAAATGGAAACTTAATTACCAAACAAATAAGATCTAATCAATCTCAGTGACTTTTTTAAACTAAGGGAGGGGAAGAAAAAAAGAAGAAAGGGAAAAAAAACACTGATCTGAGAGAGAAACATCAATGGGTTTCCTCTCCTATGTATCCCAACTGGGACCCAATCCACAACCCAAGCATGTACCCTGGCTGGAAATTGAACCGGTGGCCATTTGTTTTGCAGGACTGTGCCACCCTGGCCAGGGCATGACCATTCTTATTAGAAGTTTTGATTTCATCTTCCCCCAGAAAAAATGATCCTTTGACCACCTCTCCACACCCACCCAGACCACACACACACTTACACATGTGTGTGCATGTACACACACTCTTATTTCTGCCTCCCTCTCTCTTCTTCCTCTCTTTTGGGTTTCATTACAACTGTTTTATTGTACACCATTTAAAAATTTTTTGAAGTTGAGTAAGTAAAACTATTGTATTTCTATAAGCAAAAATATGACTCATAAAGGAAGAGAACTGTGTTCCTTTGTATTTTCAGTGCTGTAATCTTGTTCCTGCAACTCACAGCCCAGGGATCTCTATTGTCTGTTTACCAAATAACGCTTTGACCTGGATCTGGCTTTTTTGTAGGGCCAGCTCTGATGCTGGTTGCTGTGTGCCCTTGGGACAGTCACTTCCCCTCTCTGGACCACAGCTGCCTCATTTAGAACATGAAGGGTTGGGCCAGATCGTCTCCAAGGTGTCTTCTAGATTGAAAGCTCTCCGTGTAGGCATCTCTCACTTTGTAAAACCCAATAGATGAAACAATTAATAAATAAAATCTACCCTCCCCAAATACCTTTCCTACTCATGAAACAGGCCAATAAAGGTAAAAATGCTTATACTGTCAAAAAAGAATTTTTAAAAATAGCTGCTTTAATTTGAAATAATTTGATTTAGGTATAGCATTTTGAAGTCTCTCATGCCTATAACTGATAAATTTTTGTCTAGTTGGACATTTCAGTGATGGTTTTTTATCTTTGGCACCTGACCCTGCCACATTTATCAGACAAATTCCCAAGAAACAGCTCTGTAATGTTCATCTGAAATCTCTAATGGGTGTGATCAAATCAGGCTTAATGTTTGCTCTGGTGAACAGTCACTTTGAAAGCATGTGTTGCATTTTCATTATCATTTTATTTCTACCATTAGTCACATTAAAAAATATAAATCACTACTAACATCTTTCAGAATGAAGGTTAACCCTCTCACCTGAGAGGGTGATCATTATGGCAAGTGAGGGGGTGGGGCAGTGTGGAAAGGGGAGGGACACAGAGTCAAGGAGGGATGCGCTGTGTAACCTTGGGTAGTTCACTTCCCTTTATGGGCCTCAGTTTCCTTATATGGAAATGTGGGGTTGGTCTAGGTCACTCCAAGGGGCCCTTTGAAGCTGATGTGCAAAGATGTTGCATAATTATTTCAGTTGTTGTTGTGCTATTGTGTGTAAGAAAATTACCCCTCAAAGCATTTTTCATGACGTCTCCTCCCTCAGTTTATGCTGGGGTGCAGTGGACCAACACTTGACATCACATAGCTTTAGAAGGAGAAAGTGGTTCCTCAGACCCAAGGAAGCTACAGTCATGGAGAAAAGAGGGGAGTCGGCAAAAGGCTTTAATTATGAGCACCTCCCTGGGCACCCGCCCAGCCGGGCCCCGCAGTTGCCTGAGCACCAGTGCCTCTGGTGAGGTTGCCTTGAGACCTAGTGTTCATTGGGGTCCTTCCTGAATAAGGACAAGTCTGTTGGTAGGCAGGTCTCAGGGTCTGAGGAGCAGAAAATGCAAATGTGGGTCTGGAAACAGGTGAAAAGGAGAACTGAAATGCTGGTTCGATTTCCGGTCACGGCAGATGCCTGGATTGTGGGCCAGGTCCATGGCTAGGGGCATGCGAGATGCAATCGATCAATGTTTCTCTCACATATTGATGTTCCTCTCCCTCTTTTTCTCCCTCCCGTTCCCTCTCTCTAAAAATAAATACATAAAATAAAAATCTAATGTGGAACCTAATATATAAAACAAATAAAAGTGGTGTGTAGCTGGCATAAATTTATTTCGTATGTTCAAATTTGTGACATTTATTACAAACCCAATGAGAGCTTGTTTGTTTTGACTAGCATAACAATTGAAATTGGAGAACACCAGTGACCGTTGCTGTCTTATCAGCCTCTGCCTGCAATAAACTTCTTTAATTTATTTTGTTGTATTATTTTTGTGAAAGATGATGTGAATGGAGCCTCTTTAAAGGAGAGCCAGAGTAGCCATTTGAGGGTAACTGCCTTGCATGTCTTATTTTTCTTTATTTCTGAACTGGACCAAACCACCAACATTCTAAGAAGTCAATGAGGACAAGAATATCCTGTTTATAAGAATGGATGAAATTGGACTTTACTAATGACTGAATTGCTAACCAGTCAATGAAGTAGAAATCCATCCCTTTTACCTGATGACCAAATATAGGCTAATCCATGCAGTATGAAAATCTAACCCCACCTTATCTAGCACCAATGAACTTTGTTAACACAACTTACCACATCTTCTTCCCTTTTTCCCATAAGAACCCTGAGTCCCTTTCCTGTGCTAAAGTGGGGAGGGGCACTATTTGGGTTTCTGCCTCAATCTGTTCTCCCTGAATTGCAATTCTTTGATCTCAGATAAACACTTGTTACCTCTCATTCTGACTTTTTATTTTAGGTTAACAGTTTAAAGGTTACAAATGGGAACCTTTTTTTCTGAGATCGGCACTGCTGGGCACTCTTCCAGTACACAGGGAGAGTAAACTTTTTACTCTGAGGTCAGCCCTAAAATGAGTTGGAGATTTCATTAGTGGTGTCTGGTGTGTTAATGCAGTATAATTCCATGGAACGTGAATATTGTTTCTTGGTTTTGTTTTTTAAAAAGTATTTCTAACTCTATTATGAAAATAGAGATTTAACTGTAATGCTTGTCGAATTTCTGAGTCAGTTGAGTGGAACATCTTTGGGCAATGGACATGGAGAATGAATGGGGCGGGACTAAGGCAGCCCTACTGGGGGGAGAGGGGAATTATGTTCTCAGTCCCACAGAGGCAGGGAAAAGGGCCCACAGTGAGCGCCTGCCAAGTAAAACTGTGTTTAAAAGCCAAGGTCTTAAGCCTTTCCGGATCTCTGGTACCCCCTCTTGTGGTTTCCTATTGACTGGTAGAGTCTTTTTTTCCCCAATGTTTCCACGGCCTCTCACCTGGAAAGACAGTGGGACCAACCTGTTAGAGGAAGCACACCTCTTCCCTCAGACCACCTGAGACCACTGTGGAGGTGGGAGCGGCTGACCCAAGATCGTTCCAAGGAGAAGGCCGACCCTAGATATGGAATGAGGGTCTCCGAAGCTGCCTTTCTCAAGCTCCTCATCTTGCCCCCTAGCCAGTCTCCTCTCAGTGCCAACCCTGGAGTTTCTGGGCTTTCTTTCTAATAATAAAGCCAATATTTTCCTAATACTTGAGCGTGCCAAGTAGTATGTTAGGCACTGCGGGGATGCAGAGATAAATAGACTCGGGCCGCCCCCAGCACTCACAGTCAACAGAAATCGGAGCTCCTGGGCCGGTTCACCTGAAAGAGAAGCTGGGTTCCTGGTGCTCCTCAAATATTATTTTCAACAT